TTTAAATGTAGAGCTTTATATTTTTGCAGACTTTTCTATGACTGCATACCATCTGAGCGATGTAATATCTACTTGTCATCATCCTTTCTCAAGTGAACATTAAAATAAATAATCAAGGAAATCCCTACCAAGAAACATACCACAAATGAAAACTGCTTTAGACATAACTTTATTTACTTCTTTTTCTTCCCCCAGGAAAACTCTCTCTCTCTCTCTCAAATCTAAATCATCATAAACTGCAAGTTTGAACATAGTATAACTTCTCCCCTTTGTTTAAGACCATTTTTAAATTTCAGAGTATACTCTTAAGTAAATGACCTACATGTAATCACTGAGCCTTCTGTGAATAGAAAACTGACAATTGTGATAAATTGGCTGCCTTCTTTTGGATCTTAAACTGTCACTACAGTGTTGCACAAGTGGATGGATTAAAACTGTCTACAAATCAAGAGCAATTGAAAAGATAGTTCTTACTGGAATAGGTTTACAAGTAAAAAATACTGATATAATAATTTAAAACTAATGAAAGGGTACTTCTTCACAGTTGATACTATAAAAATATGATTGTTGTTATGTTCTGTTGAGTCACATGTGACTCTTAGTGACATTATATACAAAGCTCTTAATCCTACCGTGTCCTGAGCCAGTCTCACTGACTCTGACAGACCTACCTCCACTGCCCAGTTACTATATCAGTCCATCTCATCAGGGTCATCCTCTCCTGTGCTGTCCTTCCACCCTTCTGAGCATGATGTCCTTCCCCAAGGACTGGACTCTTTTGGCCACGTACCCAAAGTATGTCAAACAGAACTTCAAGAGTCTAGCCTTCAAAGAACAACTTGGTTTTATATCCTCCAAGAAAGACCTATTTGTTCTCTTGGTTGTCTGTGGTATGACCAGCAACACAGCTCAAAGATATCAATTCTTCTTTTATCATCTTTCTTCATTATCCAATTCTCGATGAATAGAAAGTACTTGCAAAGACCATGTCCTGGATCAGGTGCACCTTAGTCTCTAGGTTGATATAATTGCTTCTCAGTACTTTGGGAGAAGTCCCTGAAAGCAGATTTTCCCAGTGCAATTCATTTGATTTCCTGTCTGCTGGTGTCACGAGTGTTGACTGTGGAGCCAAGCAAGATATAATTATTAGCAACCTTAATCTCTTCTCCATCTATCATGGTACTGACACCTGGTCCAGTGGTGAGAATTCTTTATCTTCTTGATGTTGAGCTTCAATCCACATTGAAGACTAAAGTCCTTGACTTTTCTTCAGTAAATATTTCAGGTCCTATTCAGTTTCAGCAAGCAAGGATGTATCATCTGCAGAACGTAGATTGTTGATGAGCCTTCCTCTAATTCTGATACTAAAAAGTTGTATAGTTCTTTACTTTAAAAGAAATGTATTGGTACATTTAAAAAGATTAAGGAAAGCATTATAAATTTTAAGCACAAGACATAGAAATTTAAGCTTATTTTAAAATTTAGATTTTTTACATTACACTAATGTTTAATTAGTGATTTCACATAGGAAAATATCACTATTAACTTTCTTATGTTATAAAATAAAAATTTTTTATTTCATAGAAAAAACCCACAATTTTATACATAACAATATTATTTATGTAGCTTATATAGAAAACTATTCAGTAACAGAATATTTCGTGTTAATATATTTATGTTGTTGTTGTTGTTATGTGCCACTGAGTCGCCTGCGACTCATAGCGACCCTATGTACAACAGCCCTAAACTCCGCTCTGTCCTGTGCGAATCGCACTGTCTCTGACACTCCCATCCCAATTATCCCAGTCACTGAATCAATCCACCT